TGAATGCATTTTATTTATTTCGTTATTATATATATTATGCCATTTTGACAAAAATATTATAATTTAAAAATAAATTTTAAAATACTAAATATTATCGATTTGCATTATATAGGATAATTTTGTTAACCGGTCGATAAAAATATTAACAATAATTATTTTTTATTAAATAAAAATAATATAAATTATAAAATAGTATAAAAATAATTTATAATAATAAAGGATATAAGAACAATAATAAATACATAAAATTTTTAATTATTTAAGTTAATTCGATGTACAAGTATATATATTAAAAATAGTTTTCGAATACACATGATCTAACTAAAAAGGTATATATTAACGCACTTTATACAACGCAATGTTGCACTTTATAAATAGTACGTCGCACTTTATAAAATAACATATTGCACCCTACATAATACTTTAATATCCATCAATCATCTATCCACAAACGAAAAAAAAAATACATTCTAACGTACCAAAATTTCAGTATTGCACTCTATATATCAATACATTGCACTTTGTACAACAACACATTGCACATTACAACACGTCATGTTGCACCTTATAACTCTAAAAAACGTATCTAATTCACTTTATACATCGTTATGTTGCACTTTATAAAACATCACGTTGCACTTTACAGAACAACATGCTGCACTTTATCGCGATTATCAGATTGCACACTATGGATCGAAACTGACTGAATTTAATTTTTATTTTCATCCGCAAATAATATAAAAATAATCAATAAAGTCATTAATATTAAATATAATTTAAATATAAAAAAAATTATTTTGACTATTTATAATAATTTTGTTAACCGAACCGAATAAACTGACAAAAGTTCGTTTGGTTCAATCTGCACGTTATACACCATTACCATGCACCATATTGTTGGTCGAGTTGCACTTTAATACCTATTAGATTGCACAGTATAATTCATTTATCATCCAACCTCTAATCTAATTTTTGGTCCGGCTTTTTGTATGTCAGTAAGATTATTAATGTTTCCTCCATCTTGCTATCTAGCTTTTTTAATTTATAATTTCGATTGTTTCATTATGGTCGAAAATCAAATAACCGACCGACCCATGTACAAATATTAATTTTTCTTTTATATTTTTTACAAGTATACAATTTTTTAATCAAATAATAATAAAATATATTAAATAAAAATATTAAAATACTAAATATTTTTTTATATTAGTTCGGTTCGATGTCCAATTTTTTTTATTAAATAGTCGAACTAACCAAATGTACAAATTATATAAAAAAATTTATTATTATTTTTCATTTTTATATAAAATATATCAGTTAGTTTCAACCATTAAAATATAAAAAATGTTAAAATAATAATCAATTTTTGATTAATTATGAACATAACCCGTGAACCAAATCGTAATATATCAAACATAATACAATTTTCATTAAGCCCCTAGAACTTTTATTAAATCACCAATTTGCCACAAGTACTAAATTAAAATACATTAAAACTTTAAAAATTGCAATATCACACCCCTTAAGCACATCAAATTCTCAAACTAAGGCCCCAATCAAAAAATTGAAACTGTAAATCAGACAAAAAGCACATCCATTCACAGCCCACAAATGGATTCTTCCCGCCGCCTGACATCCATGCCGACCGGACAAGCGCCGCCTACACGGACATGGCTCTGCATCATTGAAATCCAATTCGCGACTGTGTAGGGGCGTTGTAGAGGTCGATTGGAACTGGAACAACAGGCGACGCTCGCGTACGCCATTGACCGACGAATTGAGCCCGGCGGCGACGACGATCTGAAACTTTATAACGTCGCCGATGGAGGCGATTTCAGAGGCGGGCAGGGTTCAAATCACAATCAGCAATATCTCGGCGTCGTCTCATGGAGGTGATTGTTGCGTTTGGTGGCGACGGACGGCCACGTTGTCGAAATCGGAGGGCGCCGTTGGCTGTCGATCCGGCGACGATGGGTGGCCTCCGGTGTGAATAAGTGTGTGCGGTGTGTGTGTGTCGTGAATTGTGTGTGTGGGCAGGTAGGGTAGGTGGCGGGGTGTGAGTTGTATAAAATAATTACTACCTCCTATTTTTAATAGATGTCATTTTGAAAAGTTGCACATTAATTAAAAATATATTTTTTTGTCAATAATACCCTTATTTAATGAAGATAGAGATGAATGTTTTGAGAAAAAATAATGAGTGAATATGAAAAAATGTAATGTATTTATTAGTTAAATGAGGGTAATAATGGAAAAATATGTACAAAATATCAAAAACGACATTTATTTAGCAAATAGTTGATAAAGCTAGAATGACATTTAAAAAAAAAAAGGGAATAGTATATAAGTGGGACCCACTAGATATTGCTATTATTTAAAATGACAAGTTTATCCATAATAAGTGGTCAAATGCTAATATTTGACCACAGTATATTAACTTATTTACCTTAATGCCATTACACGTTTGACTCTTATTAGTTGTTGTTGACTTGATCATAACCATTGATATACTAGATCAAATGGCACATAATCATTCTTATTTCTTTCACTAACAACCATTCTCATATGATCATTTCTCTATATATGTATATATATAAATGTTTGGTATTTACCTGAAATAAAAACTAAAATCCCGCCTAAAATTTCAGAATTACTAAAGTAATTTTCTTTAAAAAAAATCAAAAATATACCGTCTAAATGTGTTTTGAAATTTTTGAAAATAAATTAAATCAAAACATTTAAAAAAACAATCACACAAAGACTTTTTTAGATATATTTTATCTTTGCCTAATGGGATTTGTAATAAATAAGTGGAAATAAATCATATGTATATTTGCCTAATTGGGATTTGTATTTTCGTACGCATATAGCTTTCAATTTTTTTGAATTAATTATTTTTTGTATTTGAAATCCATTTTGTTTTTCTTTTTCTTATTAAATATCAATATCGTTTTGTTTTTTTATAAGACTTAATAGTTTAATATATCTTTTTTTATATATATAATGTATTGTATTGATTATTTTTTATATATATGACATCCATATTGTATATATAAAATAGTAAATAAATAATTATTGTAATTTTATAACAAAACTTAAGCTTATTACAATCAATATTGATTAAAAAATAACAACAATACAAGAAATGATAATTTCCAACGAAAATATATTCCTACATAATTCCAATAACAATGTCAATGGATAGTCCAATGCTATTATTACCGTTGGTACAAATTATTTAAAATTAAATGGTATGGATTTTATTCGTATATACAGAAGTGTATTTGAAAATTTTGAAAACAAAACAAGTTGTATGATTTCACTGGGTATGGGTAGGAAAATTGAAGTTTAGGTTGATTTATTATAAAAAAAAAATCAAGGTGATATAACTCTCACATTTTATTTTATTCCCATAATAACTTGTCATAAGATATTGATAATAATTTGGCAAATTGATATGTATTTCTCTTGAAATTCAAAAAGATCTTTGAACAAATTTTGGCTAATAAGATTTAAAATTTGTAATTTAATTCTAGAAAAATAATTCATAAATTTGAATGATAAAGTAAACGACAATAAATCTAAAAAATTGTATGATAATATAAATATATATTATATATGTAATATAAAAATATATAAGGAAATTTATTGTATATTCTAAATTTGGGTTCCAAACTTAAAAGTCAATAAGTAATTGTTCATAACTCATGAGTCAATATTAACTTGGGCGTAAATGGAGTAGCCAATTATTTATGGTTT